GAATAACCGAGGTGGGAGGGACCCGGGAGGTCTTCTAGTCCAACCCCCTGCTCTCGCAGGAGATTCTATTATCAGGGATGTCCCATCTTGGGAAGTTGGAAGACTTGTGGGCTTCAACGCCCAGAATTCCTCTCGATCTTCTTCTTGGCTGGGGGATTCTGGGAGTTGAAGTCCACGAGCGTCTTCCAACTTCCCAAAGTTGGACACACTTTATGTCCCGTTCCGGACAAACGGACGTCCAATTCTGGACTGAGTCTGCATCAGCCAGCAAGACCACCGGCTCTCGGCAAGTCCGAGGAAATAAATAGGTGGGGGGCTGCAGAGAAGGCAGACTCCTGCAAGGGTCTGGGGTCCATGTGGAAGTGTTCCTGGCTATCTTTGGGGCGTGGAGGGGGGCACGTCTGGTTGGCCCCCTTTTCCATCTCGGGAGCCCTGTGTGTTTGTGAAGCAGCGAACTCTTCCACAGGGATTCTGCCTCCGAGTGTCGTCGTTTTTGCTCTGAATAACTGCCATAAGCTTTAGCACGGTATAATCCAGTCCTTTAGTTGTTGCTTGTTATTGTTGTTATGTGTGCGCGTGTACGCAGGAGCCCCAAACTCACATAAACACACTGCAGGGATCTGGACTATCTGGACAGCCCAGGTAGCTTTGTTCCTGTGCTCGGGCTGGGGGCCGATGGAGGAGACCCTTCCCAAATTGGATCCTTGGGTTTTTAAGGCCACAGCCGTGCTCACCCCATTTGAAAATGTTGTGTTTCTGGGTTTGGGGAGGGGGTCTGGGAGGGCTGCTGTTTTCCTAGCCTGGAAGGGGTGTCCCCAAGGTGGGTGGGAGGAAGAGGGTCTCCCCCCCCTCCTGGCACGGTGTGGAGACAAAGACAACCCCGGAAGGAGTCGGGGGGGGCATCATATAATGGCTGTTTGTCAACCTCAGAGACCAGGGGTTTTTTTTGGACTGGGGGAGCAGTTTTGAAGCCCCCTCTTTGACGGGGGGGGGAGGGCTGAGTGCAAGTCCCCCCCCCCAGGCTTGCCCTGCCCCAGTTGGAAGCAGCAGAGCCTTTGACTCCAGGAATGTGCCTGGAGGGAATTAGGGGAGGGGGTGTCTCTCCAGCCCCAGCCAAGGCTTGCTTGCCTGCATATTTTCCCCACTGCTTCGGGGTGGGGTGGGCGAAGCTGCTTGCGGGCCATCCGTCCATGAAGGGGAGGGGGCTGTGGGAATGAAGCCCCCCCCCAGCCCGGCCTGGATCCCAGAAGTGAGGGAGGGGTGGGGTTCCTCTTTCTCTCGCCCCCCACCCCCCCATCTCCAATGCTGCTGTTACTGCTGTCTCAGCACATTCTTCGGCCCAGCAGCTTAGGGGGATTAATTGTTTGCAGCCCCTCCTGCTGGGGGGATTAACAGCCCCCCCCCTCGGCTCTTTAACCCTTGCGCTTCCTCTGGGTTCACCCTGCCCCGACAGGGGAACCCCCAGAAGTCCACGGGCCGGGGAGGTGGTGTCAGGAAGCCCCCCCCCCCCCGGCCCTGAATAACAAAAGAGAAGAAGGGATTTTGCAGAGGCCCCCAAATTTCCATGGCTTAAGTGAGACATTGATTAAGTGTCTCACTTAAGGTTGTTAAGTGAATCACTGCAGTTGTTAAGTGAGGCACACGCTTGTTAAGTGAAGCTGGCTTCCCCCGTCGGCTTTGCTTGGCGGAGGGTGGCCACAGGGGATCGCGTGACCCCAGGAGGCCGCGACCGTCGTAAATAGGAACCAGTGGCCGGGCGTCTGAATGTCGATCCCGTCGCCACGGGGACACAACAAGTGTCGTAAGTGTGAAAAATGGCCACGAGTTGTTTCCCCCCCCCAGTACTGTTGTAAGTTTAAACTGGGGGTCTTCCAACGTGGCCCTTGGATGACTTGTGGACTTCAACTCCCAGAATCCCTCAGCCAGGCACGCGTGCCTGGCTGTGGAATTCTGGGAGTTGAAGTCAAGTCATCCAAGGGCCACGTTGGAAGACCCGTCTTAAAGCATCCTGGCTGAGGGATTCTGGGAGTTGAAGTCCACCAGTCCTCCAAGGGCCACGTTGGAAGACCCCTGTCTTAAAGCCTCCTGGCTGAGGAATTCTGGGAGTTGAAGTCCACAAGTCCTCCAAGGGCCACGTTGGAAGACCCCTAGTTTTAAGTTGTGTATTTTCTGTACATCACTTCCGCTGCTGGGCTGGTGGTCTTGGACCCCGACGATGAGGAAGTGGGGTGGTGCCCGCAGGCCTTTCTCGCTGGGCTGGCTGTGCCCCCAGCTGCGGGAGGAAGAGGAGGGGGCCGCTTGGCCCCTGCCCCACACCGGCTGGGAGCCGGGCCAGGGGAGTTGGCTGCCAACCCCTGGGCTTCACACCCATCCAAGTCAGCAGATGGAACGGGAGCTGGCAGCTGGGGCTGGGGCAGAGGGCCAACCGGGCAGGGCTGGCTGGCATCTGCTGAACAGGTGGGCTCCTTGCCATGTGCCTCCTCCTCCTGGCCAGGTGCCAAGCTCCCTCCCCCCTCCCCCTCGCTCCTTCCATGCAGGCCCCACCCAGTCCAGCTGCAGCCCACCGCCTTGGCGCCTCCCGGGGGCTGCACTCCTCCATAACGTCTTGGCAGGTGGCATAAATGCCCATCTCCCTGGGCGGCTTTGTGCCTAGGCTGCCACTTCCCCTGATTAAGGAGGATCCCCCTGCCGCGCAGAGGGCTCTGGATGGGGGGGGTATCCAGAAAGGAAACTGGGGAATCTGGGGGTTGCCAGGAGCCCCAGAGCGGAGCGAATCGGGCACCCTTCTTGCCAGGATGGAAATTGATCAAGGAGAGAAACCACCGTGGAACTAAGGAGGAATTTCCTGACAGTGAGAACAATCCACCAGTGGAACTCCTTGCCTCCAGAAGTTGTGGCTGCTCCAACACTGGAGGTTTTTAAGAAGAGATTGGGAAACCATTGGTCTGGAATGGTGTAGTCAGGTCTCCTGCTTGAGCAGGGGGTTGGACTAGAAGACCTCCGAGGTCCCTTCCCACTCTGTGATTCTGTAAGGGTCTCCTGCTTGAGCAGGGGGTTGGACTAGAAGACCTCCAGGATCCCTTCCCAGACTGTTATTCTGTGATTTTGTAAGGTTCTCCTGCTTGAGCAGGGGGCTGGACTAGAAGACCTCCAGGGTCCCTTCCCAGACTGT